AATCCCTGCGTGACCGGGAACCAGTCCGATAGCTCCCCATCGTCCGTGCGGACCCGGGCCCGCATTCCGACGTGGAACTTGCGGATGACGGCGATCATCTCCCCGGGGATCCCGGCCCGGGCCAGCACCTTCCACAGTAGCTCCCGGTCCACCGAGTCATATGCCTTCTGCAGATCGATGAAGCACATGTAGAGCGGGATTCTCCTCCTCCGCCCCAGCTCCTGGAGTCGGCGCACAACGAACAGCATGCATACCGTGGATCGGCCAGGCCGGAACCCGCACTGTTCCTCCGGGAGGATTTCGTTGGCTTCGCAGAATGCGCTGAGGCGGTTGGTGATGGTCTTGGCGAGTACTTTGCCTACATGCGAGAGCAGCGAGATGCCCCTGCAGTTGTTGCAGTTCGAACGGTCACCCTTCTTGTACAGCACCTTAATGATGGCATCCTTCCACTCCTGCGGCATCTCTCCCCCATTCCACACTTCGACGAAGAGGGTACAGCAATCCATTCCTTCCCTCGCGACTTAGTCTATGAAGTCGATCAAGTTTCCTAACAACGAGCTTTGCACCGCGTCGCTTCCAACGGAGACCAGGATTCAGCGAGAAATAACTCACTCTGTCGGGACTTGAACCCATAAACTGGCCCTTAGCAGGCTGCGAGGCTACCTACTAGACCACCGGGGCGACCGACATGTTGATGAACGGATGCCCACGGGAGGTGCGGGAGCGTGATGCTGTGGTATGCAAATGCTCAACGCGTGGATCCACCACCTCAGATCCTATCCAAGCAGGAACGCTGCCTCAGCAACCCCACGACGTACCGTAATAGTCGGAGAGATGGCACCCACGTGTCAGCGTTTTATTATAGCGTACCTATTTCTCCACAACTATGAGGATGAGAACACCAACCGATACCTCTCATGAAAGATCTCGACGAGATGTTTCCAAAACCACTCTTTTCGGCAGTGGCACCCCCCTGATTGTGGAGAAATACGCTATGAAAAAACGCTAATTCGGGGGTGCCATCTCTCCGACTAAATATGGTACTTCTCAAGGCTTTGGCGAACGGTCGGCCGCAAATTTTGTTGGGCGTCCAGACGCCCAGACCCCCTTTGTTCAAGTTGGCACATGAGCGAGCACGCATGTAACACACATGTATTTTGTAGTATGCAGCCTACAAGGCAGTCTAATCTCTTTGAGCTGCCTTTTTGTAGTATTCTATTCCACACAGCAGTTGTGTTATCTCTCCGGAACACATTATAGCAGACCCGCACACTTCGAGTGGTAGTCCGCGTGCATTGCGCATGCATACATTTTTGGCACAGCAGCAGCAGGAGGTTCAGATAGATGGTGTAACCTCGTGCGTACGCATGACGTTATATTAAAGGTGTGGACATGGGACGTGGGGCGTGGGTTCAAACCTTGCTTGGTGCAGTCGCTCGAATCCCGGTTCGATAACGGGATGTCTTTTTCAGAACGTTTCTCAAAGCGGCGGAACACCGCACCCTAGTCTGCGAACGCCATTAATATGGTGTCTGCTATGGAGCCCTCTACTCTGTGTGAGCGGAGAGTTCGGAGTGTGGTGGATATGACCTGCCACCACCGGAGGTTGGCTATTTCCTTTGGTGCGATGTGGCGAGGGATGCCAATCGTGACCGAGCGAACTCAGTCAAGGGTGGTGCGGAGTTTGGGCGATCCTTCGTGGACTAATTTTCCCATCCTCCTAAAGTTTTATCAATTATTCGCAGCTGTTGGGCATCGCAAGAGTCATGGACCCTCGGGAAGAGCATTGATCTATGATCACATGTTCCCCAGATCCTACTCTTATGTACGTGTGTCTGTGCTCCCTGAATGTCCATATCCTAACCTCCACATTGCTGTATTCTTCAGCAGAGTTTTAGGTAGGTAGGGGTAGTAAAATACAGGTAGACTAACTTACATAGTCAAACTCCTGGCGCCAAGCAAAGGTTGCTGCGTGGACTGCCTCGGCGAAAGTCAGAAGAAGGCCATATTACATACATGTAGCGGTTGCTCTTCGTGCTGAAGTGAGGTAGTGTGGAGCTGTCTGGGCATGCCAATCGTGTTTGCTTTGATGTGTGTGGTAAATTGTAACAGTTGCAGCGTCTGCAGACAATCGCTCGCTGCGCATAAACGCACAGAGCGATGGCGGCCTATAGAAGCTTGCCTTGGTAGCCGCAATGACACTGACGCTTCGTTGGTCAGCTGGTTAGCGCTGCCGATGCTAACAACAAAGATACACACACATTGGTCCTCATAGATGCCACCATCGTCGTCCCTGCAGCGAGCAGAAACGCAAATAAAAATCCAAACGCCACGATCCGCCCTCAACGAGATGTTCGTGAGGTCTAGCCCTGGTGTGAGCCGGCGGACTTCGGGGGGTGCTGTTTGACTCTGTGTGTTGTTGTGTGTTTTCGTCCTATTTACTATGGCAACAGTCCCCCAATTTTTCGTGGTGAGACGTGTACTACACTTTTCAGCGTATGTAGAGTACTACACTTTTCAGTGTATTTTTTCGTACAACTACAACCATCCAGGGTCACACAGGAGGGGGTAAACATCCAGGGCTTTTTTCTTCTATTTATTTCTTTTCATGCCCCACCTTCCTCCTGCGGTGCGTGCTCAATTCTATTTTAGTCGCAAGAAGGGTCCAGCCGTCCCTTTCCCTCGTCAACGGTGCTAACGTCGAAGTTTGGTACTCACGAGAGCTTTTTTTAGCTATGTTTCGCTTTCACCCGCACATTTCGTAATTTTTCATCCCATGGGGATTCGAACTCACGACCTCCGCGACTAGCGGATTACGAGGATACCACGAGACCACCGGGGTGACCGATGTACCACAGCTTGCAAGAGAGAAGACAAGAAGGCGAGAGAGGGAGAGAGAAGGAGGAGTGCCCCAAAACTTCGACAGGAAACAAACGGGGATTCCACAGTATGATCCAAAGCCTCTCACCACATACCGTCCAGGTACATCCCAACTGCGTCCAATGTAACGGCTACTTTCGACGAACACGAGAGATTATCAATATCAATATCAAATCAAAAATCAACTATAGTAGTCGTCTAGGTCTGCCGTCCGTACTGCTGATATTTTTTTGGCGTAACGGAGGTGGTCTTGGCAAAGGCACGAAAATCCAGCCTACGGAGATTACAACATGGGTGATTGTGGTGAAAGAATCGGCCTGCTGCGTGAACGGAAAACATGCTCGAAAAATGGAGGATCTGCAGCCAGAGCCCACTGGTGCGTTGAGAGGCTGAGAAAGAAAGCTGGTCTGGTGCAGCCTGAGAACTTGACCGTCGCTTTGAAATGCTGCTGCTGCTCTGTTGCTGCTGATCTTCCTCTCTCTGTCTGCCCCCCCTCTTCGCTCCTCTCTCCCTCTCTCATCTCTTCTCCTGTTCTATTTTGCTGTGTACTTGGCGTGCATTGCCATTCATCGGCATTCCTTACGTTCCCTCAACGCTGCTGCTGCCGCATGATGGTTTATATCTCGCAAGGACAGGTTTTGTTGTATCTGAACACAAGTAAGCGCAAACTTGCAGGAAAAAACGAACAGCCAACCCGCCACCACTCAAGCAGGTCAGCAGCAACGTTACCCTTACAGAAGTCCTTCGTTGTCTAGACTAACCTGTATGTTCGATGCCGCCACACATGCTCGGTGCGATTTTTCGAAACAGGCAGTCCTTGTAACGCCTTCGCCAATAGGCCTAACTTTGCTCCAGCAATACTTCGTCTGCTCATGGCAGCATCTAAAGTTGCCTCTGAAAGATAGTATGGAATACCGTATATGCTAGTAAAGAGGTATCTTTGTCTAGCCGGAAGCAGGTTTTCGGGTTTTCGGTGTGTATCAGTGTGGTTTATCGACGAGTGGAAGAGTGGGAAGTGGACGGTGTGTGGTGAACGAAATGGGCCCAGTCGCCCGCGATCGCCGAAGTTTTCCATCCAAATAGGGCTCATCATTAAGTCTTACCTCTAGACGGCGTAATTGATTTCAAAAGTGCAGGGAGGAATTTCTCGCACCAATCAGAATCACACATGACCGCTCCAACCTTCCGCGTAACGATGAGAAGTTGATTCTTTGAAGGGTTATGTATCGTGCCATGAGGCATTTTATATCGCCCCCTGGTTCTTGCGCCGTGTATTTGCTAAATGATTTTAAGCTTCGTAGGCATCTTCTGGGGAAACAAACTTTGTTTGTCGAGTTTTTTCACCCTCTCTTCCCTTGCCACGCCCACACCCGCCTTGTGATTCACAGGAAATTAAAATATACCGTCAAACCCTCTCCCGGCTAATCGCTTAGTGCTTTAAATACTTTGTTTCGCTTTGCATGGTCCTCGGGGGAACGCCGGTGCCTCGATGCCTTCATCGTGGCCCTGGGCCAAGCTGGCGAGGGAGACAAGAACCGCTGGTAAACCTCTACGCTGGCGTTGGAGCTGGTGTCTCGTGGGTTCCGCAGGGCATGCCGGAGCACCCCAACCTTGCACGTGCGTGTCAACGATAAAACACCCCGCAGCTTGTGGGCCCGTCCCGCACTACAGACCGGACCGAACACGCCTGGGTCGATGGCTGGCATTTGTCGGCGCGTGCCGGTTGTGCGGGCTCGTAGCTTGACGTGGGCGCTGCCGATGGAGGTCTTGCTCCAGAAAGCCGCCGTGGGGTTGTGGAAATGGCTTGAGTGCTTGAAACTATACGGATCTGTTTATGCCGTCCACCTCGGCTCAGTGGTGTGGCCTCCACGGCTCAAACTACTGGTGATCGCCCCCCACGGTAAGAGAAGCCCCGCTCGAGTGTTGGACTTCGGGACGGAAGACGCAAATCATGCCGTCGCTCGGCAAGTCGTGTGATCGACCTACTTCAAGAGTCTGACTTTGAAGGGCACGTTCAATCAAGACCTCACCGGACTTGCGTGGCCGACATACTTGAAGAGTCTGACTTTGGGGGGCGATTTCAATCAGCCCATCGCCCAAGTGGAGTGGCCAGCCTCCCTTCAAATGCTATGTTTCGGAGGCCGTTTCGATCAGCCCATCGCCCAAGTGGAGTGGCCAGCCTCACTTCAAAAGCTATGTGTCGGAGACCGTTTCAATCAGCCCATAGCGGACGTCGTCTGGCTGGGGTCTCTCCTGAACCTGACGTTTGGGTTTTGTTTCAACCAACCTATTGCCGCCGTCGTGTAGCCACCCTCCCTGCACTCTCTAGAGCTCGGGCAGCTGGCGGGTGACTTTGACCAGCCCATCGTCGACGCGCTCTGGCCCAGCTCGTTGAAAAAAAATTGTTTTCCGGACGACTTTGACCATCCCATTGCCGGGGTGGCATTTCCGGAATCCCTCGAACAACTCGAGCTTGGATTCAATTTCGATCAGCTGCTCGTTGGCGTCGAATGGCCTGATTCACTTCAGGCAGTGTTTCTCGGAGCAAGTTTCGACCAGCCCGTTGACGAGGTCACGTGGCCGGCTTCCCTGGAAAGGCTGATGTTTGCAGCGAGGCATCCGATACCGCCGAACAACAGAGGCTTCAACCAACCTGTCTCCGGGGTTGCGTGGCCGCCGTCGCTTCGAGTGCTGGATTTCGGGCTGTTCTTCAACCAGCCGGTTGCCGATGTGGTGTGACCAGCCTCCCTACGAGAACTGGATTTGGGGCGTCGATTTGACCATCGGACGGGGTATTGTGGCCGGCCTCCCTTCAAGTGCGAGCTTCGGGAAACGTTGTGAGCGACTCATCGACCTAGCTAGGTACATGGCCGGTCTCCCTTCACGCCCTGACGTTTTGGTCATGGTTCGTCCAGCCTCCCTTCAGCAGCTGTTCTTCGGGGGTACATTAAACCAAGAGTCGTGTGGCCGGAGACCCTGATGAAACTCGCACGCGGAGGGTCGGATCTACTATTTATAGACTTCATTTATGTAGTGGTTTTGGTAAGCTGTTTCGATGGTGCAAACCGTGTAATTCTTCGGTTCCCCCCCCCCCCCCC